CCCCAAAACCCCAAAACCCCAAAACCCCAAAACCCCTTAGGGGCAAAAAAATCTTGAAATTAATAATATATTCAGATCTTACCAATCAAAATTAATCGCAAAGAATTGGCGAAATTAGAAAAAGTGTTTAGAATAAATTAAGTCAAATATTCCTTCTAGAAGCACGCTTCTAGAAGGAACTTCAAAGATGCTGGTAATCAGGCTGAGATGCACTCTTAGATTTCTTCTGCGATAAGTTGTCCCAAGATTGTTCTGAATTCTTCCTTATTATTGAGAGGGGACGAATCTAGCTTGGCCAAAAGCTTTAAAATAATATTTTTAAAGCAAACGTTTTGGCTAACTAAATTTTGGAAATTCTTCTTTGAAGACAATTTTCTTATCTTGACTTGACGAAGTAAGTTTTGGCTTTCGTCAAAAGATAAATAATTGGCTTCTTCCAAAGAAGAAATTATGGTTCCAACTTTCGCTTCAGGATATGAGAGGACAATAAATTGTCAGAATAACCTGATCTTGTCCTCTACAGCTCCACCTTCAAGTACTGCTGGAACGAATCCAACTGTGAAGGCTTCGGCATAAGAGTCAATAACTTCTTCCATATCTGAAGATTTGTATCTTCATTTAGAGCCGACATATTTAAGAATATGGTCGACAACTTTCTTTGAATCTCTACAGATAGAGGCAGTCTTAGCATCAATTCTTTGCTTAATCCTTCTTTTGCTTCCCTTTATAGCAAGTTGCTCAAAAATCTGGTTCCAAATGACATCCTTATCGGTATCTTTGATAATTCTTGGCCTTCCTCTAGGCCTGTTCTGTTTCAGGCCTTCATATATCTTATTGTAATGTGAGAGCTCAAGTCTTTTTGATAAGAAAGATACTATATCAAACTTCTCTGAATCAGGGGTGGTAGACTTAGAGCAAGATTCATTAATTGAGGCTTGGTCTAATAATTTTTTATCGTGAGGTATCTCTTTAGCCTCTTCATGGATAAGCTCGTCATCACCAGAAGCTGGTACCATTACATCAGAGTTCAAAATATCAAAATTGTTGCTCACCAGCTCTACTTCTCTCTGTCCATCGGTTGGATCATACTTTTCATCTTTTATATTTGCAAACAAATTTTCATCTTCTTTTCCAAGATTATAAGAGAAATCATGGAAGTCAAAACTGCTGCCTACTTCAAGCAAGTTAAGATCATCGTTCACTTCAGCTTCATTTATATTCAAAGGAGGCTCCTGGTCACTAGATTTTGTCCTTTGCAACCCAATTTCTTCCATAAGTTCATTATACAGAATATCTTCGGCATCTTGCCCGAGGAAACCTCCTAGTCTATAATTATCTTTTTGCATTTTTCTAATTAAATTTATTATTATTAACCACGCTTCGAAATCCTTTAAATTTTCAATGAGGGGGGAAAATCGGGGTTTTGGGGTTTTGGGGTTTTGGGGTTTTGGGG